AAAATGCTAGTAGAAGTGCAGACGCTGCATAGATAGACGAGAATACGTAAATTCCCCTACAACGGGAATTTCGTCAGGACCAACAGAGTATGATGGTTTCAATTTGTCCATGGCTGCTTCAACATGATGCGTTGAGATTTCGAAGGTACTGAATTCAATTGCATCCCTTGGAGTACCATCGAGAACAGCAACTATTTGCGAGTCCGATGCCACTGAGTTATTGAAAGCAGCCTTGAAGTGTTCCACGAAAAGATTGCATTTTCCTTGTAACTCAAGAATTAAACAACATACACCGTTGATCAAAACGTCAAACAAAAGGGTATTTATTCAGCTTTCAAACGATATATAACAAGTTATTACATTTCACCGTTTCGAACGAACTGTCGCACTTTACTTGTGATCAATGCTATCATGATCTGTACAGTCGCTGGTGACACTGCACCGGCGAGCTTATTCCACTTTAAACGCATTTGTTGTGCATTTTCACATCTTTACCGCATCCTCGATGTTTTCGCTTGACAATTGCCCAATATTTTTCGATCGGTCTGAGCTCAGGGCAATTCGGAGGCTTAATCTCTTTGGCGACGAAATTAACATTGTTTGCAGCATACCATTCTAGTACCTCCTTAGAGTAGAGGCAGCTGACTAGATCCGGCTTGTGTTGCTAAATTAAGGGTAAAATCCGCTTTTTCAGACACTCTTTAATGTAAACCTTCGACGTCATTGTGTGAGATGTGATGAAAACCTTGATTTTAAGGCCACAACTGCAAATTCCTTGCCAAATCATTAGTTTCCGAGCAAACTTATCAGCAAAAACAAATTTATACCTGGAAGGGACATCCCCACGACCAGTTGCCAGGTAAAATTTTCGTCCGGGGATTTGTTTATAATCCATTTTGACATATGTTTCGTCATCCATTAAAATACAGCCATCAAATTTCGTCAAAACTCGTTCGTATAGTAACCGTGCTCGCTTTTTGACCACTAAATTTTGTTTCAGGGAGCGATTCGGATGTTTACTGGCACAAAAAGACTGATGTATATCCTTCTCTTGAAAGGATGTTACGCACGGTGGAGAAGTTTGAATTGTATTTCTTTGCCAAATCATGTATGGAAACACCTGGGTTGCTTTTCACGTACCTCAAAACCTTTCTCCTCAACTCTTTGTCCCTAGTGCCACTTTTAGGATAGATGCGCTGTGCTCTATTCACACTCAGAGTATCCTTGACACGTTTGATTATAAGACTCACCGTAGACTTTGGGAATTTTAACACTTTTGCTATTTTTGAGGCAAACCACGAAGGGTTCTCTAGATGTTTGTGCACAATTAATTTTCTTTTCTCAAGTTCCATGATCCGTAATTTCGGGATGCGTCGATCAATCGAGAAAAACTTTTCAGCAATTTCTTCGTCAATGAAACATCAACAAATCCCTGTCAAACGTTTTTTGTTCCAACCACCAGGGGCGCGGTGGTGTATTAAACCGTGCGTCCAGATTTACTTTGAATCGAGCTTTAGTGCACGTGTCTTTGAGACGCATTTCCACAGGCAATCCATTTTCTTTCCTTTTGGATTAACGAAAGACCAAAACCGCTTCGGGTTCCTACAAAGGCTGTTCTGCGTTCGAATGACGTATCGTTTGTAAAGAAATCGGTTGTACAGTCGATACCTGTTACTCGCTTGGGTGAATATGCGCTTTAAAACAGGGCAACGAGAACGTTTCAGCTGACGTAAACGCGAATTGGACCACGGTGGAATTGGTGCACCTTGATTCACCTTTCCGTTGAAATAAACCACTGCATCGTCCACACAGGCAGCCATCTCGAGAGTCTGCCAATCAATACCACGGATTGCCTCACACAATGCGGTGTAATCAGCACGGTGAAAGTCCAAGCTTTGCAGATCAACGATATCATCGAATATTCTAGGGAGCAGTAGCTGAACACAGGATGATTCCGATCGAGGTTGATTAATGGTTACACAGCATTCAAAACAGCACTTTCACGTACGATATTTTCATTAGCTAACACAAAGTCAAGAGTACGACCATTTTGATTAGGATTGATTAGCGTTAAACCAAAGACATCATATCAAGAAGACTGGCAACTTTGCCAGAATCCAAGCGACAGATACAATAGCGCTGCGTTTGAGTGAAGGTGGAAGCTACGCATAGAAAAATGAGCAAATACACAAACCTTTCTTCTGAGGATGTAATCTTTGCTATCTAATTTGTTCGAAGCATTTACCTTTGAGCGGCAATCGACGCGATTGTACCTGTCTCATAGCGTTCGTATGAGAAAATGGAAGAGTTGCCAGTCTTCTTGATTTGTTGTCTTCGGTTAAACCATGCAGACTGAACCCATCCAAAAAAATTGAACTAGGTGCATAGAGAAACGATTGCTGAACATCTATGACCGGAAGATCATTCAGTGAATCAGACCAAACCAGATTGGATTGATTGTAGTCTCCAAACTGAATTGCGATATCCGAAACTTCAAGATTCGAGAGAATTGCTGCAATAGAGATTAAGTGGTTATTGATGTCAGCAACATTTGCTCTCCGATCTGGTGGCAAGTAGATCACCCCGATGCTAGCGTTACCAATGGGAGTTTCAATCTCGATCCACAACTGTTCAAGAGTATCACAGACAGGTGTAGGATCTAAGCAGCAACTCAAGTGTGAAGACACGGCGATGAGAATGCAAACCACCCCTGGATTTGGTGCTGTTTACAGGATAGCGATCATTTCGAAAAACAGCAAGAATCCGAAGCGGCAAGGAAGAAGTTGCAAATCTTAGTGCGTAAGCATCTAACGTTCTGGTAGTAGATGTTGATACGACGTTCATCTGAGTCCAAATTTTCTCTGGCATGGAGTTGTAGCGTTGGATCACTGCAAACCAGAGGCGCATTAGGGATGGAAATACTGTTGCTGCTTAAGTACTTGCCTCAAACAGCAGGCTGGAGGACCCCTTCTCCGACTCCGTACACAGGTCCGAAACGACTTCGACTGCTCCCATCAACATACGGAGCGACTGAGACGGGTGGAAAAGGGGCTTCTCCGGGGATGAAACCATGATAGAGTCATTAAGCATAATCTCGCAAGCGATTTTGTTGGCAATACTCGGTGACGAAGCATTAGAGTGTAATTGACAGATTCCATGATGCGCTAATGGTTGTTGTCTTAACGAAGGATCCGTACTGGAAGGTGGAAAACTATCAGGGCCAGGAATTTCATCATGGCACAAAGTTCGACTCACAAAACCACAAAAATCGACGTTTCGATTTTTTTTTTCTTCTTTCCTTTATTTAACGTCGGTCTCTGTTCCGCAATCTAGTGCCAATCACCGACGGACATCGATTGCCATCCATTGACAGCAACCGAATGTGCAGGAAGGCAGCTTCCACACCTGCGTAGGATATCGCACCCATTCACAACACACATGGGCCGGGACCAACGGCTTTACTTCCCTTCCGAAGGAAGACGTGACCAGAGATTTTTATGCCTCAGAAAAATCCCACCGACCTCGGCTGGGGATTGAACCCAGACCCATTGGTGTGTTAAAAAGCAGTCACGCTTACCACTACACCACCGGCGCCGGCTCGTTTCGATTTTGTTTCGAGTCTTTTTTCATGATGATATAGAAAAATATAAATTTTCTCATGAATCTAAGGAAAAACCTAAATTCTTGGGATTCTTAGGAAAGCTCCTAGATTTTTTTTTTTTTTAGCTGTAAGCTTCCCTTCCAGGTGTTCATTTTACCCGCATTGCCTCTATGAGCAATCCATTTCGATCGAAAACGGGAATAGGGGCGTTAACCGATCGAATTAGATTCAGAGGTAAGGCCACGAATCACCAATCAAGTTCTGGATCTGATTTGTTTCCATTAACATTAAATTGAAAATAATCAATCAACAAAAGTTTCACGATCAGTTCGATTGAAATACACTGGAGACGGTTTTTACGCGGGGGATTGATACATTTCCATGCTGCTTTATATTTTTGAACTTTTGGATAGTGTTAGATCATGTAATTTAAACTTGAATAATATCATTAATAGAATACATCTACCGTAGAGAATCGTTCATCGCAGCTAGATTTTTTTTTCCTGAATTACACCAAAATTTGTGATTTTTATTTCAAGTGCTCCATTTGATTACTTCTGACCTAAAACGGATAATGTGATTGGATTGAGGTCCTTAAGTTGTTCCGTTTTGGAGAAATCTTATAAAAGCGATTTTTTGGGGGGAAATCGCGTGAAAAACGACTCCAGTGTATTCCGCAACCGCGTTTGCCCCGAGTTCAAACATCTAATTGAGCCAATTGAATAATGTATGTATTGAACTTGCCTCCACGTCCAGAAACCTTCCCGAAAAAAAGTCGCGTGACCTTAGTTCGTTCTTCAGATCGCATCATGCGAAAAGCCAGTTGACAGACAATCATAAAATCGAAAGGAGACGAAGAAAAAACACTCAGAAAATCATCAAGTGCGATGAGATGCGGCACGATCTTAATTTTTCATTTCGCTCTATTGTCTGGTCCGGTTCGGTCTGATCGACTCAACATTGCCCCAAGGTCAAAGTACTTTTCAGACGATTATTTTCCTAGAGGAAAAATTCTCCTTTCGATATGTATACATCTAGGTATATCAACGATGACAACAAAAGCAGGACGAGAAATGTTCAGTACGCATGGGCTGGTCTACTGTCAAACTATCACCATGCACCCATCACCACTCATGGCTCTACCCTTGAAAGTGAAAGTGGTGGGCGACCCGACCTATGGGAAGTAAAATTAACTGATCCTAGGAAACCTTGGCCGAGACTGACTACACACTACGATCCACGGCCATCGATCAACATTGCTCTTAGCCTACTTTAACGATCAGCGGAAGATGCTATCTTGTTTCGATTCAGCGCGCGAGAGGAATATTTTTAGAATGCGCAGATTACAACACAGTCGGTATGCGAGAACCAGAAATATTTGGGTGAATCCATCACTTACCTTACATCCCACATAAATGCCCATACGGACAACGGCACGGACGGCGGCATTCATGCCTTGCGAATCTCCACCGCTGGTGAAGACGGCAATTCCCTTGCCTTTGTGCGCCCCATGTTGAATAAACCGTTGAACTGGTGGTGGTGACATTTTGCTGCAAATCGAACAAAACAAATCACTTTTTACTTTGCTTCAATAGAAACACAAACACTGCCTAGAACCACTTTCTTCTCCGTGCAATAACGAGCAATTTATTCTGTAAACTACTCAGCCTGAACAGGCCCCCCTCTTTTCACTGTGGGAACGAGTAAAGAAATGCACTTATGCTCTTTCACGGTCAGCGATGTTGTAACAGAAAAATCACTGCTTGCCTAAAAGGGGCACACGGACTACTGTGATAACTATTCCGGCTACACTACTGTAGCGATAAAACCACAGCCGACTAGGATACTAACATTTGAGGTCTTCAGTTGATCAGTAGCTGTTCAATTTTGTCCAGCGAAAATCTCGCGACAGACTGCTATAAACGACTCGGTAGACAGCCTGGAGTTAAAATACGAACCGTCGAGCGATCTGAGACGAAGACTCCTTTTTCTCGCAACCGAAAGGTTAACCAGAATGACATCTCAAGGTGACTTTCGGGAAAGCTTCGAACGCGTTTTAGCCCTGCGGATTTGAGGACAACCGGTTTGCTGCGGCTGATTGTTGGGTGAATTTTAACTGCTGAATTATAGAGTTTAACCGGGGAAAATTAGTTGTAATAATTGCGTAAAAAAGTAATTAAATTTCTTTAATCTAGGATACGCCGGTTTCAGCTAAGTTTCACTCAAAACAGAGCATTTCTTTGCCGAATTTGACAGTTTGAAAACCTCGTTCCTTCGATGCGGGTCAAATTCGCAGGGCAGTCAGTGGGGTGTAGCCTACACCGCTCGAACTGCAGTCGTCGGGAGAGCTTTCGTGTCATTTCCATTTTGAAAGCTTGAGGAATTTTCCTCTCAGCGGGAAAATTCATTGTAAACAGACGGCAGTCGATCGTTGAGAGAGGTACAATGTAATCGTTAGCATTTCGGGGAAACATAACGCCAATCCAATTAAATGCATTTTAATCATAACGATGACGAAACATTACCATGCTATGATGCAGTATGGCGGATGACATCACCACCCCATGCATGCTCACCGCCGGTTCGCTCGCTCTCGCCTGACAATGGTGGTGAAAGCATCGATACACGTGCGTGTATCGTGAGACCGGCACCGTTTTGTTGGTATTCGCGAGCGAGCATAATTTTGCAGAGAGAGAAGCGGTTTTTTTTTTTTCTAAAATCAAGAAAACTGCATCGGTAAAGAACAAGAAGATCAACCGGCCGCGTGCAGATAATCACGTGCTTCGAGCAGCTGTTTAAGGCTCCTTCTCTGCTATGTTTGAAGCGCGCGCAGAGATCGTTAAGAAGCTACCTGTTCCTTTAAATCATGCACATGCTCCGTCGTCGCTCTCATTGGGTGCAGGCTCATCGTCTTTCGTGGGGGCAATGACACTGCGATTCGGGTCACGTCCGGCGCATTTTGGTGGTCCAACTGCGATCGTTTTGTAGGGGGGGGGGGACTTCGATTTTGTTTTTATGATTGTGGTGGTGGTGGAATGATGGAATGCCTTTTTATCGGCCCGTAATTTGGATGCATGGAAGAAGGAAGGGTTTCTGCGAATGAAGTGAATCATACCATTTCACAACGATTGCGAAAGCTTGTGGCTTTTCAATGAAATCATGTAAGTTACTTAAAGCAAATGCGTGGTAGTCATGCCATCGATAAAGCAAATAGGATTATTGTTTTTCCTTTGAATGCTACCGAGGCAGCTCCCACACCTGGTTCCTACTTATCGACCCATCAACTCATGAACCGGGGACCAACGGCTTTACTTCTTTTCCGAAGGAAGGCGTGGTCAGAAATTTTATGCCTCAGAACATCCGGAGGCATCGACTGGGATTGAACCCGGGTCTGCTGGGGTGAGAGGCAATCACGTTTACCACTACACCACCGGCACCGCTTCCTGCTAACACTGCCGGTGTACCAAACTGAAATAATTTCGGAGTTTTTTTTTATCTTATCGATTATATTCAGATGGATTATTCAAAAACAATTGTTCTATCTCATAAGTGTAGTTGGAGAGGCGGGGAGGGGGTGCTTATTATACCCCTGCCCCCTCACTCATATCAATGGCTTCAAATTGAAATAACCCCTCATCTTGGCGAATTGGTAGGGGAAATGCAGGTAATGTCGGCCTAAGTGTCCCTAATTTGGGCTCATACATAAATTCAGCAATCGACTAAATTTTCAATAGCAACCAATAATATCCATTAGTAACGTCTCAGTAACGCGTTCATCTAGATAAAATTGATAAATTGACGATTTTTAGCGATGGGCCCAATCTTAGATCCATAGGCCAACATTAGAGACATTTCCCCTATGTTCAAATGTGTTCTACACATATATTTGTTCAATCTAATAGGTGTAGTTGGATTGGAGGCGGGGCTTATAAAACTAAAGCTACAGACTGAAATATTTTCGGAGAGTCCCATCTTCGATCAACAGCAATAACAGCCAATGATTTTTTTTTTGGAAACGGATTATATACCAAATGTTCATTGTCTCGAAAAAAGCGTCTATGCAAAATTTGGGCTCAATTTGGGCATTTTGTATATCGTCCAGAATATCGATACTGGTTGCAGTCGTTTTAAGACTACCTCCTTCTTGTATCTGCTTGTTGTTCCTTTATATTTTTACCCTTCTTACAAAGAAGGGTATAGATATCACTTGAAAAACCGACTATCGATCCGAGGCCCGGAGGGCCGAGTGTCATATACCATTCGACTCAGCTCGACGAGATCGGAACATGTCTGTGTGTGTGTGTGTATGTGTGTATGTGTGTATGTGTGTGTGTATGTAACGAAATGAATGCGCTCACGTTTCTCAGCAACCGCTCAACCGATTTGGACAAACTCGGCGCCAAATAATAGGTTTCGGGGTCCCATTGAACGCTATTGAACGGTTTTGGAATCGGTGAAGCGGTTCCGGAGATATGGCCCGAATAAGATCGGGTGAATATGGACCTTCACGCTGGATTTAACGGAAAACGTATCAAAACCATCATATACCATTCGACTCAGCTCGACGAGATCGGAACATGTCTGTGTGTGTGTGTGTGTGTGTACGTGTGTATGTGTGTATGTGTGTATGTGTGTATGTGTGTGTGTATGTAACGAAATGAATGCGCTCACGTTTCTCAGCAACCGCTCAACCGATTTGGACAAACATCTTCTAGGAGACGTGTCTCTTGGAACCCTTATAATTATTATGCTTAGAATCAATTGGCTCCCATCCCAAGTAACCAACAAGTCCGATGATCGCCTTTTATGAGATATAAGGTTAATATAGGGCTTCCGAACTTCATATAATTAATATGTAAGAATAGGGCTTGTTTGTGACTTGTTAAATTCTTTTTGGACTCAATGATATCGGTTGCATCGCTAATGGGGTAACTCTAAGACCAGAAGGTCCCGAAGAAACGTGCTCAACTTTTTGGCTCAGCTCTGGTACTCTCTTCGGTCCCAAGCTAATCGATGCACCCCTCGAAACATGGGAAAATCCACAAACCCCTAATTTTATCTGTCAAAAATCGAATCAAAACAAACATAGTGTAGTACTAAAATTTCGGGTAGAATGGGGTACGTTAATCGATTTGCTTGGGACCAATAGGCAAGTCAAGTAGTGAGCCAATTTGAAATCGTTAGTTTCTTTCGGTTTGTGATACTGCATATTTTCTAATTATGACTAGCATTTTCCATTTATGCTAAATTTAGTCAAATACCGATTGTTTACCGGTTTTAGCGATACTAAATTTCTCAATTCCGGAAAACCGGTTTTCCAGAAAAGATTCCCGGTAATGACAACCCTAACTGGTTACCCTACACTGGTGCGTGACGCCATTGATCACGTGTAGGGGTATCAGTTGATCAAATTCTAAATGAGCTCTGTTTGATTGCAACTGTTCGCTATTCAAACTAACGGGGTTGTTCAACGTTTCCCGAACCAATCAGATTCCGTTTACATACGGTCTATCACGCTGCACGCTCACTCGATTCTACTCATTTCTATTCCACATTAACTCTATCTACTACATTCTTTCCCTCTCCTACTTTCCTTAATAGAGGATCGGGGGGAATTTCTTCTACCCTCTCGGAGGAATTTCTTCTACCCTCTCGGAAGAATTTCATCTACTCTCTCGGGGGAATTTCTTCTACCCTCTCAGGGGAAATTCATCCACCCTCTCGGGGGAATTTCATCTACCCTCTCGGGGAGCGCCAGTAGCATCCTCGTAAGAAAGAGGATGGTTCTCACTTACCGAATTGCGCCATTGTCGTGACTTGACCGAGGTTTCCAGCCTCGGTCACGGTTCCACGAATCTGCAGATCCCTCTGTTGGTCCGCGGTCCGCTAGTGCCGCTAACCTTTCTGCTGGTGGTCCTTTGATGGTCGTTCGCTCTCTCCACAGTCCGTCATAAAAATGCCGTCAACGAGTTTTTTTTTTTAGTTTAAATGATCTTTATTTTTGTTTAACTTGGACGATTACCATATAAATTTTTTTACTAAGTGATTTAATTGCTTTCTTCATCTTTAGGTATGGGCAAAATTCAAAATTTGTTTTACAGAATTAGTCCTAGACTTAGTACACGGTCGATCACCTTGGTGGGATTGGTTTGTTTTGTTTTTAGAATTTGAAGAGAAACTACTTAATACTACTATTGACAGCTTAAAACTAACCTACTCTACTATATACACTTAACCTACTATGTACAAATTGCTTATTAAAGCATGTTCAGAAAGATTGCATTTTTGAATAAATTTGGTTGTCATATCATCAATTTTGGAATCTACTTTGGGAATTTCTGCCTCTTGATGGAGGTCTGCTATTCTTGTGTCGAATGGACGATCTAGGATCATCCTCAACACTCTATTCTGTGCAACCTGGATTTTGTTCCTGTGGGTCTGAGCGCACGATTCCCACACCGGGGCGGCATAGAAGATCGCGGGGGCTATGATCTGTTTGTAAACAGCCAGTTTGTTTTGCCTTGAGAGGCGGCATCTGCGGCAAATGAGCGGATACAAACACCTAACCAAGGCGGAGCACTTAACTAGGGTTTTCTCTATGTGCGAGCGGAACAGGAGCTTCTCATCGAACAACATCCCGAGATAAGTAACATCAGTGGACCACTCGACCCTTGTACCATCCATTATTACGGTACAGGAGGGAGACGGTTTAAGTTTTGGTGATTGTCTGTGAAGGAACATGATCGCTTGGGTTTTCGAGGTGTTGATTTTGATTTTCCACGTGGTGGCATAATCAGTAAAGGTGTCAAGGCATCGTTGGAGCTTGTTCGTAATTTCACGAGGCATCCTACCCTTGACGGCTATCGCGGTGTCATCTGCGAACAGAAAGAACACGCAGCCGTCTCCTAGAGGAGGGATGTCCGACGTGTAGATGCTGTAAA